GGAGAATGCCAACAATCTTCAATAATCTTATATTTGCTGCAAATTGCTCTCCTCCAAAGTGCATTGATTTGGTTACCAAGTTTCGACCACCATTTGAGTAGTAAACAAGCCTTTACATCTCTGATTCTTCTGATGCCCAAACCCCCTTGGTTAATACTCTTTGTAGCCTCCACCCATTTCACAGATGTACTTTCCTTTTCAGATTATTACCACCCCACAAGAATGTAGCCTCAATCTTTTCAAATTCTCTAGCCACACCTTCAGGCATTTTAAAGAAAGAAAGGAAATAAATAGGTAAGCTTGAAAGGGTAGACTTGATAAAAGTTAGTCTACCTGCTAAAGATAGCAGCTTTCTCTTCCACCCTGATAGTTTCGATCTGATTTTGTCAAGGACAGGCTTCCATGTAGATTTCCTACTAGGATTGGCTCGTAGTGGTAGCCCCAGAAATTTTAGAGGAAGGCTCTATACCTTACAGTTAAGAAGATTAGCAAAGGAAAGCATTAGATCATCAGTTACACCAATACCACACACAACACTCTTGTGATAATTAATTTTGAAACCAGATAGAACTTCAAAACATCTGAGAACTCTTTTGACTAACACCAACTGATCCCAATTAGCTTCACAAAAGAGCATTGAATTATCAGCAAATTGCAGATGTGAAATACGAACATTATTGGCCCCAACTAACACACCATTAAGAATGCCAAGGTTAAGTGCTCTGACCAAAAGAATATTAAGCTCTTCAGCCACTATGTTGAACAAAAAAGGGGAGAGTGGATCACCCAGAGAATTATCTAAGAATTCTCTATGATTTTATTAAATAGTCACTACCCTTGTATATGACACTTTCCTAGTAAAACTATAGGAGAGCACCACTTCTCCTAAAGTTATAGTGTCATTCTTCCAATTCCTTCGACTTGGTTCATTCAAACAAACTAGTATACTCTACTTCACATCATTTGAGGGAATAAATGTAGTCTTTTTTGGAATTTCAGACACTATTTGGTGGGGGTAAAAGGGTAAATATCATACAATTTTTAGGAGAGCAACGTCGAAGTGTAACTTGAAATATTTAATACAATTATTTCAGTGGAGGCTTTCGATAACATCAAAGTTGAAGATCAGACTTGAATAAGATAATTTCTCCAACAATTTTTGTAATTAAATATTATTTAAATGAACACTTTGTTTTAAAATAAACAGTCTTATTGCAACTACATAATTTTATATACAATTTATATATATATATATACATTTTATCTGTGAGTCATTACTCAAAGCAAATTAGTTTGCCAACCCTATATATAAGTCTTGGATCTTGTTGTGTATCTTGAATCACAATGGCTCCTTTTGTCTAATTATGCTGGAGTGAACATTCAAACTGAGATAATGTAAGCCCATAACTAAAATTATACAAACACAAATTTTATATTGAATAATATGGTCTTTTGTAATTTTTTTTTTATTTTTTATTTTTATTTTTATTTCAAGCCAAAATACCTTTAACTGAAGAGAATATAAATAATAAATTTTTAGATATAAGATACTTTACACATGTTTTTTTCAAAATAATTTTGGTCAACAATTCGACACTATGTCATAATTATCAAAATGTCACTAACGTGCCATTTTAAATAAGTTTTATGTACAAAATCCTAATAGTGAAAATCCTTTTTTCATTTTGAAATTTTGTTAAGTCTCCGGAGAATTCCCCTTTTTTTTATTCGCAACAGCAATTGGAATGCGTAAAATAGACAAGGAACAAAAGTTGATGAGGTCATGAGACATTCGAGGACAAGTTATGGGGATATAAAGAGATTGGGTTATGTTTGAATGTGGTGTTTTGGTGATGCATCCTTGCAGGAAGCATGTCTGCATGGGTCAACACTCTTCAAACACTACTTCATACTCACAATATTGACAGATCTATTCATATATATTTATACATGCATGCATGCAAGATTATGTAAAAATGTCTTTGTTCATGCATGTGTGCCAGAAAGAGTGACTTTGTGCATGAATCCCTTTACACATTGAACCTATTATGTATGTTTATACTTCAATTATCTAGGGCCCTATCTCATAATCAATAAAATTTATCTAAGTTTAATCAATTAAATTTCTATAGTTAGTAAGATTTTATTGATTTAAACTAAAAGTTAGTTTTAATTAGTAAAATTGGACTGACTTCGTATTGTTGACTGACCTTTTTAATTTGACTGCATTTTGGTTAGTAAAATTTCGCAAACCACTTCCTAAGATAGTGAAAATTCAATTGACTTTCGATTTTGCAATTTTTAAGCACTCAATGAAATTTGATTATCTTCATCTAAAAGTAAAATTTCCATGTCCTAACATAGAAAAATTCAATTGACTTTCAATTTTTGAAAATTAAGCAATTATTTGATTTTTTTTTTTTTTTTTGGAAAATGAAATTTCTTTTTGTCTCCTCTGTCTATATAAGTGAAGCTGTCTCCCTTGGTCCGCCCCTTAATACTTGTAAGTTAATCTGGAACAGATTTGCACCTCCAAAAGTTCAATTTTTCTATTGGTTAACCTGGAAAAACATAGTCAAGTCAGCAGAATTTCTTCAGAAAATTGGAGTGATACAAGCTAATGCTCCAGTCCTCTGTGTTTTCTGTAAAGTAGAGATTGAATCAATCTATTATGTGTTGTTGCATTGCCATTTTTCATGGAAGGTATGGGCTACAATGTTGAATTGGTGAGAGATGCAAGGAGCTCTTCCAGATTCTGTGGAAGCTATATTTCATTGGTGGGATTGTGATCAATTGAACAGAAAAGAAAAATTAATTTGCAAGGTCATCCCCTTGGCAGTCTTGTGGTCATTGTGGAAACTTAGAAATGAGTGCATTTTTGAGTCTACTACACCTAAGTTGGAGGAAGTTTGTGATTTGATTAAAATTGGAGTTACAATGTGGTTGAATCAAAGATTTAAGGATTCTCACTTCACTATTCTGGACTTCTTGACCAATCTGAGCCAAATTAGATGCAGTTTGGGGAGTAAAATTGTATTGGGCTGCTGATATAGTTCTCCCTTGTGCTTTGGGTTGATGTCTTACCAACTGTGGGTGGGTAGTGAGTTCTATTTCTTTGTTTTGTTTTTCGGTACTAACTTAGTTGGGCTCGGGCTTTCTTGTTATTGATAATTGTCAATGTGTTTGCTTGATCATTATCAATAAAATTTCCTTTTGACTGTTTCAAAAAAAATATAATAATAATAATTAGCATAATGAAATTTCACTTCACTAGAGAGTTTCCAAAAACGATTGTTGAGAAATGTCATTGTGTTAAGTTAGCGAAAATTTTCTTTTTGCTAGAGAGTTGCTAGAAAATGGTTATCGGCAACCAATGGTGGTCACCAGAAAGTTGTTGCCAACGGCTAAAGATGGTAGTGGCAGGTAGGATTGTTGGAATAATGAACTAGATTAGGCCCTGTTTGTTTGGAGAGTTAGAGAGGGGATTGTGATTGGTAGTGAGGTGGGACCCACCACTAATATTGTGTTTGTTTTGAGAGATAGGGAGGGGATTGATAGTGAGTTCCAGATTAGGATGGGCCTTCCCAAAGGGATTCGGATGGGCCTTCAGGATTTGATATTAGAAAAATAGTCCGGCAGACTAGAAATTTTTTATTTTTATTTATTTTTTATTTTATTTTTTACATGTCGGGCATTTTGTTTTGAACATTAATGCTTAATTTTTTATATTTTTTGTTAAGTAAAAATCATTATTTTATTTTTTTCTAGAAATTTTTTTTTTTATTTTATTTTTTTTAAATTTTTTTACATGTTGGGTATTTTTTTAAAAACATTAATGTTTAATGTTTTTGTATTTTTTTTATTTGTTTTATTATTTTATATACAAATAATTTAACAATCCCTACACTAACAATTATCATCAAAACAAATACAATTTTACTTAATCCCCTTACTATCAATCCCCTCCATTCTACATCTGAAAACAAACGGGGCCTAAGGAACTACAAACTTATTATTATTAGTTAAAATAATGAGTTAATAATAATAATAATAATAATAATAATAATTTAGTACGCCTTAAGCTAGCAAACATATTTTAGTTGTCTTTGAACTAATACAAATTATTTTTAGGCAAATTACATCAGTAGTCCTTATATTTTGTTCTTCGTGTCGTTTTAGTCTCTCGACTTTCAATTGGCTCAATCTTCACCACTAATTTTAAATTTTGTGTCATTTTAGTCCAATTGATAGCCTTTAGTGTTTTTGACGAAAAATAAGCATTGAGTTTAACTTACTGAATTTAGTAAATTTATAATTTTACTTTAAAAAATATGACATGCCACTTATATGCATATTTTTCACAAAAAAATGCTAAGAATTGTAATAAATTGAATCAAATTGAGACAAAATCACAAATTTAAAATCAAAATCGAACTAATTGAAATTATAGGGACTAAAATAACATAAAGACCAAAATATAGGTACTACTGCCGCAATTTACACTATTTTTAGAGAGTTAAATAAAAAGAATAAAATAAAATAAAATAAAACCATTTGAAAAAAATGCCATGTCACGCTCTCAAGCTTTAATTGTTCAAAAAGAAAAAAAAAAACTTGCCAGAACTTTGCACCAAATACATGACAGACTCGCACCTCATAAAAATGTAATTTTTTGCCACTATCCAACTAATTTGAGATTTCCTCTTTTAAATGTCGTCTAGAACTATCCGATATACCTCATGCCTCTCTCTCGCAAGGCAATGAATAAGATCGATGCAGGTTTGGAACTTCCAGAAAGTAGACTTGCATTGGACTTCTATTCCCATGACACTAATATTTTCACAGGAAATTTTCTAGAAATTTACCTGCATGTCTTATTGGCTCTGGATTCTATAGTTTGCATATCATGATATCAGTGAATAATATTTTATTTTTAATTATGTTATTATTACAGCTCAAAGGCCAACTTGCTAGTGTAAACAAAAAGGGGAGGCAGAGAGAGAGAGAGAGCCACTCATAGGTTTGGTATATAAATCCATGGAACCACAGATTATCAAACACAAACAAAAGAGGGGATTTAGAAAGTTGGTTTTGAAGGTAATAGCAACTATAAAGTAAAATAATTCTGTCACAAAACTACCCATCTCTGGACTGAATATTGTATATACAGACTACCAGTCACTTCCCATGACAAACCACCCACCTCCCCCGAACACAACGAAATTCTATAACCAGGTGACACCGAAGAGAGATAGAGATCTCCAAGAATAGGTTGATCTTGAAATATCATCTCTCTCTCTCTCTCTCTCTCTATCTCTATCTTTTAGTAGTATGCCCGTTGGGCCGTTGAGGTAATTGTGCTCCACTGCTACCATCCTGCATGCATTAACAAGCAGATGATTAATGTTCAACGCATAAAGAGACAAGTGTTGGTCTCAAAAAAGTAGCCCTCGGGCATGTTCGGTGTGCGACATTCCAGATTTTCAAGGAAGATAGCCTATGAAGCACGGATACTTCAAAAACGGTGCCATCCGAGTACCGAGTACTTACCGAGTACAAATACACATACCGGATACGCCGACTTCATGCCAGGTACAGCAATTACATTTGAGTATGTCATCAGTACAACATGGGTACGACACTGTACGGCATTTTTTGTGTGTGCAGATGGTAGAATTTATTGCAACATTTATTATCCTTCTTTCAATTTTGAAAATATCTAGTAATTTATTTCCAACACCCTTTACCTATGAGTCATGATTTTGCTTTATTTTGTATGTTGTTTTAGACAATCAAAAAAGAAAAAGAAATATAAATAATTATATAACTTTTTAGACAAATTTTTCTCTTTTTAGTTTTGATATTGAAACTTTGATTTGTATGTTGGATGTTTAGCTATAAATTTTTTTTAAAAAAAAAAAAAAAAATTGACGTACCCCAGCCGTATCCGTACCCATACCCGTTCCCTACTTTTTTAAGAATCTGCCGTATCGGTGTATCTCGTATTGTACCTGTACCAGTATCCGTACCCGCATCCGCACCCGTGCTTTATGGAAGACAACAATGTTAGATCAAATATCAACCAAAACGGGGATCCCGCATCCGCACCCGTGCTTCATGGAAGACGACAATGTTAGATCAAGTATCAACCAAGACGGGGATCAAAGATCTAATAATTTAACCAGTCCATCACCCTTGCTACACTAAACAATTGTTTCGTCCAACCATAACTTCCAACTTGTAAATACTTATCAAGATCGGCCCAAATCACAAAGAGCCCACAATCAAGGACGTGCTCTTTTGCCTCGACAGATTGGTCATACATGTCCGCAGATGTGGATGTGTGTGTGTGTGTGCGCGTGTGTGTGTGTGTGAGAGAGAGAGAGAGAGACCTCATATACAGTATAGCTTGTGTAATTCAAAACATAGGAAGGTGGATGGGAACAATGGTGACTCTAGGAATTTAAGTTAGTGGTGTCAATTGAAAGACAAAAATATCTAACGAAAACAAAAAATATATATTGTATTTTATATTATAAAATATTTTAAAGAAAAAAATAAGCCAAGATTAATTTTTATGTAGGTTCAATGTCCCATTTGAAAAAAACATAAAAGTTAGCTTTTAAAATTATGGAGTTTTATATTAATGCTTAAAATGCTTTGAATAAGTTGTAATGCTTTATTTGATTTATTGGAATGAGATAAAATGGAATGTAATGATCATTCATTTAGCTTTCTTATGGAATGATCATCCCCTTACAATAGTGAATAATTATTCCATTTGTAATGTAATTTTCATTAATTATTTAGTCAACCAAACATAGTAATGAATATTTTGATAGAATAATCATTTCATTTCCTCTATTCTAATAGTGTTTGGTACAATGTGATGAGTTGAAATTGATTTGTAAATAATTAATAAGCCTAAAAATTTGTGGGTTCAAAGTCACTTTTTTAGTGGGGTCAGTTATGATAACACATTTCTAAAACAACAATTATATGCAAAGTAAAATAAATTTTTTCTTTTATTGAGGGGGTTCAAGTGACACCACAAGCTATGCTGTGGCGTCGCCCATGGGAAGATCCCACAGTAAAAAGATAAACTACCTGTAAAAATTAGAATTATCAGCATACAATACTAGCATTAGCATATATCATATGCCACTCAAATGAGAAAACACTAAAATGCTGGAGAAATAGATCCACTCGGGCAGGCTAAACAGTAACACACCAGAAAGGGAAAAACCCATGCAAAACCCGAATAGAATGCCATGTAGAGACATTTGTTGTTTAAAGTCATCCAAAAGGAAAGATTACGAATAATAACTGTGCTCCAATTAGAATACCTGATTGCATCAAACAAGTTCTAATCCAAATTTCTTGTGAAAACTCGGGTCCATGTGCTTTGGATGTCATCTTATAATGAATACAAAGTGATTGGTTTTGTCTATTTTCTTAAATTATTACATATCTACTTCCCAATTAGGCATCATTTTAAACAGAATTATAAAGAATTATAACAGTAGAAGATAAATTTCTGGTTCTTCCACAGTAACCCCTAACTTTTAGTATTCCCTCCAATTTTTAAAAAGTTCCAACAGGCAAGCTTATGCTTTAGGCAAAAGTAATAATTTCAGGTAATTGTGAATTCAAACTTGAAATTCAAATCCTGGTGACCAAAATTTCTTGTGAAAACTCGGGTCCATGTTCTTTGGATGTCATCTTATAATGAATACAAAGTGATTGGTTGTCTATTTTCTTTCAATATTACATATTTACTTCCCAATTAGGCATCATTTTAAACAGAATTATAAAGCATTTATTGTGTTAACCCAAGCATAACAGTAGAAGATAAATTTCTGGTTCTTCCACAGTAACCCCTAATTTTTAGTATTCCCTCCAATTTTTGCAAAGTACCAACAGGCAAGCTTATGCTTTAGGCAAAAGTTATAATTTCAGGTAATTCAAATCTTACCACATCATTCACACTCCCCACAAAAATCGCTGCAAGCAAACTACTTACTGTTTGACAACTATAGTAAAGAAAAAAACCATTATGGTACTTCCAACTGCATTAAAATTTGACATCCATCAAGAAACTTGGGATCAGATTCTTTTTTCCTTTGCTTTATTTTCTTTTGAGTTTTATTTATATATGTACTTCTTTTGGCGGCTTGGGGCCTGAACAAATAAGTCAAGTGACAAATGGATTACCTGCCCCATAAGCAGAGTAACCACTGCCATGCAGATCATGTCCGCCAGCTCTGTCAACAAGACAAGTGACAAGTCTACTGATCAAATTAATAAAATTGCAACTCAAAGCGGAACATGAAAACGGAAAAAACCTTCTCAGTGCAACGTCATATGGATTGTGACTGTGTTTCCCAACAGACCATTCAAAATATGCTGCATGAGATTGACTTTGTCTTCCAATAGCAGGCTCAAGGTATCCAGCATGAGGTTGGCCACGTGTCCCAAGAGTAGGTTCAAGGTATCCTGCACTAGATATGCTGTGATTTCCTACAGCAGGTACATGGTATCCTGTGTGAGGTTGGCTTTGTGTCCCAACAACACTTTCAAGGTGTCCTACATGAGGTTGATACCGCATTCCAACAGTAGGTTCAAGGTACCCTGAAAAACTTCGGCTTTGCTTACGAGCAACAGGATCAATATACCCAGCATGCGGCTCCTGGAAAGCAACCATTTTACATGATCAAAACAGAAAAAGGATAATTTCAAAACTAGTGAATGAAAAAGAATGTTACCATATCTGCATGGGACCTTTTAGATCCAGATACAGTGTTGTATGCATGGCTCTGGCAACTAACAGCAGGTGCAACATATCCTGGTGCATATGGATTTCTGTATTCAATGAAATCTGCACAATAGTTTGGTCCTTTTCTAATATGAGGATCTCTCTCTGTCTTCTTGAAATTATTGTTTTGCCTTCCCCGCATTTTGCCTGCATATTCATGAAAGAAAAATCTTTCTCCAGAACCTTGTATAAAAGTAATCAAAAGGGTAACTAATTTAAGCCACTACAGGGTACTTTACTGTGTCTTTTCTTCGATGGCATTTCATTATGACCATGCTCAGCTCCTATCTTTCCATGACCTTTAGCCTTTAAACGTTGATTCTTTCTCTTGCGATTTGTCCTTTCCAACTTGGATGATGCTCGAACAGGTTGACCTTCAGTGACAGTTTTGGGTTTATTTGGTTTACCTCCATCAATTTCTGTCTCAGAAATAGCATTCCCCTCTTCTGTCAACATCTTTCCCTTTTTTTTGGCCCGTTTGGACTTTGCATGACCTTTCATCTTTGAAGGTGCAGCTATGTTTTCTCTTTCAGTCTCTTCTTTCATTGATGGGACTTCACTCTTTTTCTTAACCTTAAATCCCCCACGAGTACCTTGCTTTTGAAGCCGACCCTTAAAATGAGGCTTTGCAATCTTAGCCTTAACCTGAGACATTTATGACAGGTAAAAATATTGTTTCCCTAAGCAAAGAAAAGAAAGAGAAGAAAAAAAATAACACTTTACTACCTTGACTTCTTGTCCAATATGAGCGTTATTAATCCCCTCCACACAAGCTAGGGCACTTTCTCGAGAAGTAAAAGTAATAAAGCCAAAATATTTGCGTTTGCTGCCTAGACTCTGAGGTAACTGAACGTTCACAACCTCACCATACTGTGTGCAGATTTCTTTTACTTTCTCTTTATTCCCAGCATCAGTTAAGCCTTCCACATAGACAGTCTTAACCTAACAACAGGAAAATTTAAATTCGTCATTTATACACTTTCAATGATGAAATCAAGTAACTTCAAGCACTATACAGTAGATTCAATGATCTGTTCAGCAAATACAGAAGGTGTCTCTTATGCTGTAAAAAACTGACAAATTTAAAAATATATCAGTTTCCCATACTTCAGTAAGACGCTTAAGAGGCACGAAAGAATTGGACCTAAAAGCTTAATTATCTTATGGAAGTATGCTATCATAATGACTTCAAGCAACCTCTCTAATATCACGAGTGTCACTACTATACACATAAATTCCAGGTCCTGCAACAAAGGCACAAAAAAGTAGCGCAAATATTTGATTTTATTAATTAAAAGGTATAGATACAATCCTATATGATCTATCCTATTACAAAAGAACAAATCCTCTGATTTGATCTCGGAAAAGGGCTGCAACCCAACAACTACAGAAAGCTTGTTGAATCAAACCAATTGATTGATTTCTTTAAGTCTTCAAACTGAGAATGAGGGAAAAGAGACTTTATTGAGGGCTTGAATAGCTTGATCTCAGTCCAAACTTCAAAATAATCTCTAAAATAAGAGCTTGAAGTTGCATCTTTGAGAGCCTTGATGCGTAGGGCGTACTTGATGTTAGAGAACGTGGAAGGATCAACATGTAGTTGAAATGCTTGATGATTCTTCAAGAAAGTATTGAGAGTTTTTGGAGATAACTTTAAGAAAAAATATTGACAAAAAGAGTACTTGAGAACTCTTGGCCAAAAGGTACTTGAGAGCCTTGGCAGATAATTGGCCAAAAGGTCCCCTTCTTAATAATCAGAGCCTCTATTTATGGTCTCAAGGGAGGGATGTTAATTTTAGTAACCCCATTAAATTAGCATTTAATTAATTTAAATTTCTAGAAAATGATGAATCTGTACAATTTTGTATTTTGAATTCAAATTTCAACCCAATTTCCAACTTCTTAAGAAATTTTCACGAGTGTCCTTAAGGGACCAGAATCTATGGGTTGATTCAATTGTCTAACTCAACTGTCAAAACAGTTGGCAATTGTATCTTGGTGTCAACCATATTTTCAAATGGGTTAAGTACCACAATTTTGAAGGGACCCACATTTCTTTGAAGGCTTTGACCATCTTGACTTTAGTTAATCAAGTAAATTTTACTTATAACGATTCCGGTTTTGACCTGACCCTTGTTGTACTATGGATTTGGGGTTTCATGGTTTTATATTGTTAGTCATATCTTGTTTCCCTTGTATTTCTTTAAATTTAGCTATTGTGGTATTGTTGTTGCATTTGGAACAGGTTGGTTGCTTAGTTTCCAAACTTTTGTTGCCCAGGATTTTGCTCCTCCGATCGAGCGGCACTTTTTGCGCTCGAGCAGGCTTTGCGAACTCTCAGTACTTTTGCAGGTCTGCAAAACTACTAGGAGAGTGTATTTTACGCTCAAGCGGTGCTTTCTACACTCGAGCGGTGCTTTCTGCGCTCGAGTGGTTTCAACTCGAGCGGCCTTTCTTGCGCTCGAGCATCACTTTTTGCGCTCGAGAGGACTGTGCGTATATCAGTTCGCAAAAGTAACATTTTACATCACTTTTTCATATCTTTCCACTCAAAATCCTAAAGTTGAGGCCCTCTCTCTCTAAAACCTATCTTCTCTCTACATTTTCATCTAGATCTAGTGGTTTTTTTACCCAACTCCCTTTGTTAAAAAGGTAGAGCATGCCGTGAGCTCTCTTTTCATCCGAACAAAAGTGGGTTTCGGTTCATTTGAGGTTTCTCTACTCTCTCCTTGATCTCTAGCTTCGAGGTACGGATTTTCTATACTCTTCTATGAATTTTAACTTAGTTATTTGTTGATGTGTAAGAAATATTAGAACTTGAGGTGATTTTGAACAAACCTAAGGTTTTGGTTTAAAATCAAAAGAGGAGTTTTTAAATGTATGTGTTGAAATTGGTTACGGGATTAGATGTGAGGTTGTGTTGTGATAAATATATTGATTTGATACTCAGGATGGATTTTGGAAGAAAACTGAGTTTGGCCCTAAAATGTTTTAAATAGTTATTTTGTATAAATAAATGAAATTGGTATTAAAAATATGAAATTGGAGGAACTTTATATTAATGGTGGAGTTAGATATGTATTACCTCTCATCTATGGAAATTGGATAATTTATCTGTTTTAGAGATTGTATATTTGTTTAGAAATAACTATTTTGGGCTATTAGTGGAGGATAGCTATGATTGTCGTAGAAATTACATGAGGATTAAGCAAATTGAAACTAATCTCTTATCAGTTGTCATTGAATATGACTGTGTTTTAATACATTGTATATGTATGATGTGTGGGAGGAGAAATGGGAGGAGAAAGGAGATGTACTCCATGTTTGGGAGGAGAAAGGGATGGACTCCAGTAAATTATACATGAGTGCCGATTCCTACGGACGAAATTTCCATAAAATGGCAAATAGATGTGTTTGTATGACAACTATATGGATTTGAGACCCAATGAGTTGTATCCTCAGTTTGGTTGATTGAATGAAATAGACATGATTAATGAATTGAGACATGAAGCTTGGGATAGCAAGGTTTTGGAAAAAAGTTGTAAATGAGTTTAAATCACGGGCATTGTATATGCATATCATACTTATATAAAAAAAACAACGCACACTTAGTACACATTAATGTGTGTTTGGGAGGGGTAAAGATTGAGCCCACACCTAACCTTTGGCATAATACACAAAGTGGTGGTCCCAAAACTTGAACCCATAACCTCAAGGTTATTAGGCCAAGTCTTAACCATTGAACCAATGGCATATCATACTTATATCTTTGTTAAAATTTATAGATTGTGTTAAATTGTTTCTACTGGGCTTTGGCTCACCTTATGTGGGAAAACATTCCAGGTACTGGTGATATGACTTGGAATGATTGGGAGCAAGAACTTCTCTTTTGTTGTAATTATTTTGTATAGTCAAGGGCTTTAAATGTATTGGACTTAAAGTCTATTTTTGTTGTAACCAAGAATCTACTTTGGAAAGTTGTAAGCCTTTAGAGCATTTATTATTTGTTTTTCTTCCAGTTTCTATCTCATACTGTGTTGTATGTTGTAGATTCAGGGATAAACTCATGAATGTATAATTGCATATGTCATTCTCTTGTACAACTGAATCTCATGTAATAGAAGGACTTTATACTCTGATTCTAATTGTCATTTACTTATCGTCTTGGTTGGTTTATTGTTTTATTTCGGGGCCTTAAATTACTAGTACCTATGAAGCATGGCATTTCCGGGTATTGATACTTTGGATGGTTACTTTTGCATACGTATCGAGTACATGAAACATGTCAAATTTTATCTTCTTAAATTCTAGATATATCTAGTATATACACAAGCCGTATCTTAACCTAAATGAAACTTGCTTCTATATAAAGTTGAAGTTAGTTTCATTGAATTTTTTTTTTTTTTTAGCATGATTTTAAATTAAAATTTTGGTTTGCAAGTTATTTAATATAATGACATTTAATTTTGGTTTATACCTAACTTTTGGCATTAAATGTTGGATCTTAACAAACTAAACCATTTAACTAATTTTTGCATTACTCCAAATAAAATATATATATATTTTACGAACGCACCCAGCCATACCCATATCCTCTTTTTTTAAAAAATTTACCATACCAACGTACTCGTATCGTACCAATACCAGTACCTGTACACGTGCTTCATAGGTTTTAACCAATTGGACGATGATTAAGCCATGTCAAAATTTAGGTGTCTACTGTCACAACACAGAACACTAATTAAAACAAATGACTAAGATGTCACAATTTTTGACCTAATATTAAAAATCCTAGTAGATGAAGCACCTTTCACGACGACACACCTTTGGCCTAAGTACTTCCCAAAAATGACTTGCACCCAAGCAAATTTCAGGTTCAAATGCACTAGTTTTATATAATTCATCATCAAGAATAAAAGTATTTTTGTTACCAACATATTTTTTTCAATTTATGACTTTCCACAAACACTAGCAAGACTCAGATTTCTAACCTGAGACAGAATTTCTTGATTTGGGTGCATTGGGGTTTGTGCAAAAGCAACCTTAGCACTTCTATCACGACCAAAGACAGCATCTGGCTTTCTTAGTCTTTGAAATGCTGCCATTGCATCCGAGTGGGTGCTAAACTCCAAAAGAGCAAAACCTTTGATCTTCCCTTCTTTTTGAGGATCATCTGGCAAATATATCTCTTCAATATTTTCAACTCCATAGCTTTTCAATGTTCCCAGCACCTTCAGAGGGAAAGAAACAAACGATGTCAGATCATCAATGCAAGGATGACCTTCAGTAACAATGCAAGGATGTGTATTAAAAGCTTACATGCTCTATTGTCCATAATTTGCAGATGTTGCCCATATAAAGAGTATCATTATCCTGACTTGCTGATATTATAACGTGTTTGCCTCTCACCTTGCCAGAAGAAAAGACCACATTATTGCCATCTTAAATTAACATTTTGAAAATTATGCTTTTATTTTTCCTTTGCAAAGAAAATTTCATATTAAAAGTCAATATATAAAACCTGGATCCCTTCATTCAATGCAGAAAGAGCGTTCTTTGCTTGCTCAACAGTCACGTATTGAATAAAGGCAAATCCTCTACTCTTATTTGTAGTTGGATTCCTTACTATCCTAGCGGCTTTTATTTCCCCAAACTTTCCAAACACTTCAATCAGATCGTCCTCAACGGCCCCTTTATCCAGTCTTCCAATAAAAATTTCGAAATCCTTTTTTTTCTTCCTGTCAGTGATGTGATTATTGATAAATTCAGCAGGCTGTTCCTCATCTTCATTATCTTCTTCATTGTCCCCAATATCTTCCTCATCCTTTCCACCCACCTCACCCCCTTCTTGCCCATCACTACGCTCATTGAGAACAGGAAAATTGTCATTGTCTACAAATGCCTCAGCATCATCAATTTGAGCAGCAGCAGTTCCTTCTTCAGATGAGTTCTGTTCTGCAACTATAACAATTACTTATTGTCAACTGATGACCCTGAGCATAGTAACACCAAGGAATTGCATACAGATAGACAAGTAGTTCAACATAGAAATGAGAAAAACAGTGTCAATAGCGAAAACAAGGACAAACGTGGATACACATCAGAGAAATCACATGAAGTTAAAAAGATAGGATTAGAAAACATATGAAGTTAAACAGATAGGATTAGAATGGGCACCTAATGAGTCTGCAAAACATAGTCAGGTAAACAACACAACAATAGCTGAGTGCAGAGGGTAAGTTATCACAACACTTTTATTGAATTCACCATAATTATGTCATTTGTTGTAAACACTGTAAAAAATATATTTTTATCTTTCTCATCTCTCTTCTACTGATAACACAATTTAAGAGAAGTGGCGCGAAGACAAAAAATAAAAGGACTCAACTCAAAAAGCCATGGACTGAGTTCCCCCCAATGGTGCCTCAATTGCCAATGCATAACCTTATTTCTGAAACTGTGACGGTTCATCGTTATTTTTCTTTAGTTCCAGACAGTGGCAAATTCAATAACAACAAAGCACATGTTGCTTCCATTCATTCATTAGAAGAGGCCATTGTGCAGAATAGTTCAATCAATCTAGGGTGTTGGAAGTGGTGGACTAGTTACTAAACTGACGACTGGCTTTAATTGCACAAAATAACATCCATAGCCTCAAATTCACATTTTCACACTCAACAGCCCAAATCTCATACCACCACCAAGAAATAACCCCAATTTCTTCATTCATATAGTGTTCTTCAGCAAAGGGAGGGAAAAGAGTAGATTGGGAATTCAGAAGATGTGGAGAAATTATGGATAGTGCTTTCATCCATTCTTATTCTTGTTATAGAGCCTCACTCAACCAAGAAATCAAATAATTGCTGGGTGAAATTGCAGCCCAAGGTACAAATCATTGAGCAAGGAGAAGGAAACACAATGAAGTTAAGATAGCAGCAATTGAGTGACTCATGTCTTCATGTGGTTCACTTCTTCTTTAGTGTAGTTAAAATTTACTCTCCCCCAAGGATAAAAGACATCTTATCTACATATATATATATATATAATCATACTGATAAGTATCTGAGCAAAGACTGCCCACTCTTAATTGCAAATCAATGATCTGGAACCAAAAGAAAAATCTGTGAACACTTCAAACCATTTGTTTTGTTACATATTTGTTTTCTTAATTTAAAAGCTACCTCTTGACACCCTTTTGCTTGACTAGTATAGTGCTTCCAAATTGAGATTTTAAGGTATTAGTACTACCTGAAATCTCAGCCAGGGATTAACAGAGTTTTCAGGCAAAATTTACAGCCTCAGGCCTTGAAAACATTATTATCATGAGAAATTAGGTGAATGACCTTGTCAAATTATCCATGAATCATCTTTTATTTGCTTTTAAAGTTGACTGTGTATCAATAACATTTCCTAGGCCCACTAAAATCTTTAAATTGACGGGGATCTTCAAAATTAATCCTCAGTGGAAAGAAGACGACAATCATCCGATAATAATATATTTATCTTTACTCAAAAAAGAAATTTAAGTTTCGGAAAACATCAAAATAGATGATAATTTATATACGAACACCATCATCCCATAATCTCTTTTTTTATTTGACCTAATTCTTTGTAGTATGTGGAGCATTTCCAATTCTTACTCTCTTCTTTTATCAAACTTGAGTGAAAATTTGGTTAAGAGTTTGATCCAGTATGGAACACTCCAATCTTTACTAAAAAAAAATTCGTCCGTTTTTTACAAAAGAAAATAATTTAAAATCTTTATTATTTTTAAAATTTCATCAAATTTGAGTAAAAAGATGACGTTGAGAATTTGAAAAAGATTTTATTCATCCTTGATTTAGCAAAATTTTTTCTCTCTCCCTATTTGATACAAGTTGAATGAAATGATTGGAGCTCATTTTAGTTCTTTATTCATCAAATTTGAAAATTGGATGAAAGAATTGGTTAGTGTTTTAAAAGGCGCTATTAGGCGAGCGCCTAAGCGTGAGGCGACATGAGGTGTAGTCTTGCACTTCGAACAAGTCGAGACAAGGCGCAATACACAAGGCGCAGCTTAGGCGCTAAGGGCGAGGGTTTTTTTTCAAGGCGCGAAGCGTGGGCTTCATGGGATTTACCTATTTGTCTACTCCAACTGTTGATTAAGTGCCTTTTGTGGGCATACACAGGGATTCAAAACTCTTCAATATAAAATGACTAAACGTGATCAAAAGAGAGCAAAAAGTGATAAAAGATTGAATATTATGCTTTATATCTTTTGTTAGATATTTCTAATTTTTAAAAGATTAAATGTTATGTTTAAATATTATAAGAAATAGTTATAATTTTTGAAATTCTATTTATATTTGTAATGTTGAAAAGTCTGCCTATTTTATAATTTTGCTTTTCTTCTATTACTTGTTCTTCGCTTTGGTGAGGGGCACGCCTCGCCTCGCACTTAGCTATAGGATAACTTATTGCCTTGGTGCACCCAGAGCCTTTTAAAATGCTGGAATTGGTGAAGGATTGGAGATGCCTTTATACAATATAATGCAATTGAATTCAGCTCAACTCTAATTTAAGAACAATCAATCAGACGCTAAGAAAAAGTTAAAACCATTACCAACATGAATTCCTTCATTCTGTTCACCCTCCACTTCTTTTTCCTCAGCTGCATTGTCAAACTTGTCATGATCACCCTCCATTCTTTCTCCATCCTCCATAAAGCTCACAGGATTGACATTGACGTTCCTCTCCTCCTCCTTAACCTTCGTTTCCACTGCTGTACTCATTACAGCCTTGTCTGCATAATTTGAGTCTAAAACCCTAAGTTCTTGCTTGATTTCCACTCCGGCGATCATCAGCGGCGCCGCCTGTTCGCCGCCTTCGTCCTTCACCACAGCAGATAGAGCTTCTTGGCCTTTGTGTTCCGACTCCGGCACTGTGTTGATCTGGTCGGCCAGACTCAATTCGAGCTCCGATTGTTTCGATTTCCATGTCGATTTCTTACGAGTGGCCGATCGAGGGGGCATGGTCTGGTCTGTTTGTCTCTCTCTCTCTCTAAATTCTCTCTCTTTCTACATATATAGAATGTACAAAATGTAATTATTGGCTATTGAAATTGAAGAACAAACAATGTAGGTAGGGTTTTACAGAGAAATTGAGAGTGTAGAGCTTACCGAACAAAAAATAAAACAATAGGGAGCGAATTGATTGATTTCTCCTTTTCTGGTGGCACTACGGATGGCAGAGAAAATGCAAGAAACGGAGAAGAGACAAAGGTATAGAAATTTGATGTGAACGGATGGTTGTTTAAAAAAAACTTATTAATTTAAATTTATAGTAAATAAAATAAAAATGACAAATTTTTTTAAGAAAAATTCATCTAAGATCTCTATCTAATTTCTGGGTAAGAAAGGAGGTTCACAATAATATTTTTTAATGTCTAAGGTTCTTCAATCTTATTTTAGGTTGTGAAATACCTAATTCACCCTTCTTTATAACCTACGTAGTTTTGGATTTTGGCAAGCTGAAGATTTTATTGCTGTTTTATAAGAGATTTCGTGGGAATGGACTTGATAATGGAGGTTTTGTAGGAGATTTCATAGAGATTTTGAAGGTGTTGCAGTGGATTTGACAATGGAGATTTTGTAGAAGATTGCTGCGATCGTGTAGGTATTACAATGGAATTGATTGTTTTTGTTGTGATTTACAGTGGAATTGAATCAGGTATGTTTCGATGGATATTTCATATAGATTTCGATTTTTGATTTGATTTGTATGTAAGGGCTCAGATTTCATATTAGTTTTTTGAACGTATTTTGAATTAGGTTTTCGTTTTCAATTTCAATGAATTTGAGAGAGAGGCCATCTAAGTGAAGTTGTTTTTGATTTTTGGAGTTGATTTTCATTCTCTGTTATTGATTAATTTTAGAAAGAGGGCAGCTCGATGGAGTTGATTTTGATTTTGATTTTTTGAATTCATTTTTCATTCTCTATATTTTGATCAATTTCAAAGAGTGTCTAGCTCAATGGAGTTGATTTTGATTTTCGGAGTTCATTTTTCGTTCTCTATTTTTCATTAACATGCTTATCAATGATAAGTTTTGTTCTCTATTTTTTCATCAACATGCTTATCATTTTCTGTTCTCTAAGTTTTGTTCTCTATTTTTTCTACACAATTTTTTTTTTATTTTATAATCTAGAGAAAATTGTAAGTTTATTTTTATAATCTAAGGAAAATCAAAGAGAAAATTATAATTTCATATAGACATATTATAAGTTTCTAATCCAGATAAAATTATAGAGAAAATTGTAAGTTTATAGTCCAGTAAAAATCACAGAGAAAATTATAATTTCTTATGGGCATGTTATTATAAGTTTGTTATTTTTTATTTTCTCAATTGAATGTTTTGTGAGCATACCAGATATTTTCTATGATTTTCTCTGTATTTGTGTGGAATAGTTAGCATTTTTGTCTTTTGATGTTAATGTATTTTTGTTTTTGTGATCTTAAAAGTGAATATAAGTTCATAAATTTCTCTGGACTTTTACTTGTAATCCAGATAAAATTATAAGTTTGTTATTATAATCTAAAGAAAATCATAATTTTATTTGGACATATTATTATAAGTTTGTTATTTTTTTATTTTAATGTCCTCTGGATTAGATATATGGATTGGGGAATTAATTGAATGTTTTATGATAAAATCTAATTTTCTCTATGATTTTTACTGTGTTTTTGTTAAATACTTAGCATTTTGTGTTTTGATGTGAATGTGTTTTTGTTTTTGTATAAATTTGTATGTTTATGTTATTTTTTATGTGTTTTTATATTAAACAAGTTATTTTTCATTTTTTTTTTCAATTTAGATGGACAGTGTAGTGTTGTTGTTGTGCAATTGTCATTAATGTTTCATGCGAATTGAACTTTGAGGAATTGATTGGTATTTTGTGTAAAACATGAGAGAATTTGAAACCTAAGACGATCTCTATTTCATATTGTATTTGTGGGGGCATCTGAATTGTATAGTTCGAAATAATATTAATTTTCTAAATATGTTGAGGGTTGTTTGTATGCGTGGTGTTGATATAGTTGATGTTTCAGTTGTTAGGTATAGTACTTCTAATCAAGAGAATGAAGTGTGGTCTAATTGGATAGATGTTGCGCAGGGTGAATGTGATAGGCTTGTGGATATTGAAAGGAATTCACTCTCTAAGTTTTGTTCTTACCAAGAAAAGGTGTTATTGTCATCTGGTTAGCGAAATAATATTAGAAGTGTTAGACAAAAGTTTGAGGGTGGCGTGGTTGAGCTCCGTACTATTTTGTGAAAATAAGCTATTGAGGTTGGTTTTGAGTTTACATATGTTAAAAATGACAAGCTAAGAGGTACAGTAGAATGTGCATATAAGGAATCAATGGGATGTATATGACGTGTACATGCTTCAAATGAAAAAACAAATGGGTTCTTTTACATAAGAACTTTGAACAATGACCATACGTATGGTGTGGCAGTTCGTACTAGTAAACATGGTAGGATGACTTCCAACTTAGTTTTTGAGCTAATACTTGGAGAGGTAAGTGTGAAGCCGCTAACTCGTCCAGTAGATGTTGTCAAAGAAATGAAAGACAAATATAGGGTCTCAATCAGCTATAATTGTGGTTGGTTAGGGGTTGAAAAAGCAAAAGGTAGTACATATGGGGATTCTTGTTTGTCATTTAATCAATTACGTTGGTATTTTGATGAGGCATGGAAGAACAATTCAGATAATCATTTTGAGTTAGATTTTGAAGATAACAAGCGTTTCAAAAAATGTTTGTGGCTTTTCATGCATGCATTGTTGGTTTCAACTATTGTCGACCATTATTGTTCCTTGATAGAACTTTTTTGAAAGGATGATACAAAGGAGTTATGCTTGCTGCGAGAAGGAAAGATGGGAATGAAGGTAATTAGAAATATATCAAATTTTTTCTAAGTATGTGAATTTTTTGTAGATATGGGAACTGGGGTGAATTTTCTTTGTTTGTGGTCATGTTTTGTAAATTTTGTGAAGTTTCTCTGACATTGTGAATTTTCTCTAGATTTGGCCACTGTGTGAGTTCTCTCTGGATTTGGCCACAGTATAAATTTTCTCTGGATTTTGGCCATTGTGTGTGTAAATTTTCTCTGGATTTGGCCACTATAAATTTTCTCTAGATTTGGCTATTGCGTGTGAATTTTCTCTGGATTTGGCTACTGTGTGAATTTTCTCTTGATTTGGTCACTGTGTGTGAATTTTCTCTAGATTTGGCCACTGTTTGTAATTTTTTCTGGTTGTTCAATGTGCGAATTCTCTCTGCATGTGTATATCTACTATGCTTATTCCTATTTGTTTTGTAGGGTTTTTTTCCTCTAGCTTTGTCATTTGTTGATGTTGAGAATAAAAACAATTGGTGTTGGTTCCTTGAACATTTGTGTCAATTATTGGAATCGAAGAGGATGATAAGTTTCATATCAGATCGACATTGTGGTATTGTGGAAGGAATTGCAAGGTTTTTCTGTAATTGCTATCATGCATTTTGTCTTAAATATCTAAAGAGAAATTTGAGGGATAATTTATTATGTGGAAACACAAATTTGGTTAGGAAGATGATCGTGTCCAAGTTTTCAGAATGTGCATATGCTCCAACAATGTCGTTGTTCCATTTCAAGTTAAATGAATTAAAAAGTGAGGGAGGAGACATTGTGAGTATTTTTTTGAGAAGTTTACCATATGAAAATTGAAGTGATGCATATTTTGAAGGGAAACGTTATGGCGAAATGTATTCAAATGTTGCTGAGTCGTTCAATTCATGGATATGAGAAGCTCGGCACTTGCCAATAAAAAATTTGGTGGATATGATACAGTTGCAAACTATGAATATGAGGTCTGATAGAAGGCTAATGATGTAGGTCGAAAGGTACCACATTGAGATCGCTTAAGTTACATTTATAGTCTTTTTAATTATGTTTATTTGGCGGAGATGATGTGTTTGTGCACTTGTACAGATTTAACAGCAAATATGCAAACTCAATCAAAAAGGGCACGAAAGCAGATTCTCCGTGCGAGAAGCGAAAAATCCGAGCTAGCCACCTTATTGCACGTGCGGCCCAGCTCTACCACACATGCGGCCCACCACCGCTCGAGCAGCCTACCTAGGGATGCGTGCGTAGAATTTTGAGTGTGCTCTGCTGAGAATAAAAGAAGGAAAAATAGGCTAACCTAGGGTTCGAAATTTATTCTAAGGAAATGGAGGCTAGGGTTTAGAGAAAGTGATTTTTCCTTAGGCTTGAGAGACAATTTTCATGGAGGCTTCCATCTCTTCCACCTCTTCCCACTCCTCTATGAGTAACTAGGCTTTCCTTCCTCTATGAGTGGCTAGGCTCTCCTTTTCTAGGGTTTTGATGAAACCCTAGCCATGTAAAAGGGATTTTTCGTAGGCTTTAATTGTGAAACAGTTTGAACACATGTATGGATGTTTTAGAAGTTTATAATAATTGTTTTTTTTCATCTCTTCAAGTATTTTACTCTTTGTGATTGTTTAATACTTTCCATACATTAGTTTTCTTTGTGTTTGTGTTCGTGTTCAAAGTACGAGACGAGTCATGCTACGAGAGAAGGGTCGTGTTGCTACCATAGTTTAGAGCAAACGCCTCGTGCTATTCCGGATGACTCGTGCCTGTACGTTGAATGCAACAAGCCTCTTGATCAATATTTCAAACTTGTAGTTGTGAAATATTGGGTATTTCAAACCGGATTGCAATTGATGGCTGATGTTTAATCTCTTTTATATGGTTAGTGGTGAATTATTTGCCCTAGGATTTTTCCCAAAAATCAATCTCTCAATCCCTACGTTTAATTGTCAACTTAATTTCTCAATTTCATTTAATTCCTGTTTAGTCATAAAATCTCTCAATCTTTTTAATCAAAATTAATTTAGAAATTTAGTGATTAAATTAGTCTAATTTCACAATTGTCCCTGTAGATCGATATCTGGACTTGCCATTATTCTAAAAGAATTTGGTATAGTTTAGTGTTTATATTTAGTGTGTGTAATGACCCACCAAATTTTGGCACCGTTGCCGGGGACTTCTGGCGAAATTGAGTAATTTAGAGTTACATTCCTATTTTAGTTTGTAATTTAGGGTTTTATATTTTTGTGTTGCTCAGTGTGTAGAGTATTTGCAATCAGACCCATCACTGAAGTGCAAGCAAAGCGCAACCAAATTTTAAACAAAAATACTGCAGCACCAAAGGGCTTTAAAAA